TCGCGTCAAAAAGTGAAGGGCTCAATTGAAATAAGAACTTTTTCACCAAGTAACCGGGATTCTTACCTCATTAAGCATTGAACTCTCGCATCAAAAAGTGAAAAGTTGGGAAATAAGAAGTGAGAGTTGTTTTGATTTGTAGCCTAGTTGGCTTGAGCTTTTAAGTCTTTATGGGTGTTTTAACACTTAATGCCCTAAAGCCGTCCAGTTTAGGAGCCATTGACCCAACGCTTGTTACACAAGTCTTCTAGAAAGCTTAAGAGATCTTTACATTGCACCATGCTATTATCTTAGATCCCATTCTAATATATATATATATATATATATTATTTTGATGAATAAAAGGTTCATTTGTAGTCTTGATGATTGGTATTTGAGATATGTGCTAGTTTGAGGCCGATTTGTAATCTTTACATTGACTATACTAAAAAAAACAACATATTTGGATGTCAGTTCACTCTAAAAGGATGCTATAATTGATTATGATTTGCATAATTGACTTGTTTGATGTGTGGGGGCTATATTTGCTTGTATGATGTTGAGATATTGAGAAAAGCTTAGATATGGCTGAAAGTTGCATACTTGAGGTAGTCTTCTTTTGACACTTGTTTGAAAGGTGTGTTAATGTTTCTTAAGTGAGGAAGAGTCCTTAATGTTTGTGGGTATCATTTTTGGAAACCTTCGCAAGACTTCATTCGCCCTCTAGGAGTAACCTATGGGTTTAAAATGCTTGTTATATGTGCTAAATGCAACCATGATCCCTATGAAAATGGCGTTATCTTCTTATTTGCTTTATTGATCTAGTTCAATAGTTGTTTCTTTTTATTTCCTTTTTTGCTCATTGCTAAGGGATTAGCAATATTTAAGTTTAGGGGTGTGATAAGTGCTGAAATATGCATATTTCAGCCTTAATCTTGGGTACAATAGAACTTTTATTTATTTATTTATTTTTTCATGCTTTAGCCTTATTTTGTTTTATTTCCAATTTCAGGTTCATAAGGTTGAATTGAGCTAAATCTGACGTTTTAAAGCCTTGGGAAGTCAACTGAAGCAAGAAAGGAGGCGGAGCTGCAAATTCAACCACCTTGATCGATCGAGCAATATACCAGATTGATTAAGCCTTTGGCCTTATCCGGAATCAATCTCCAACAACCTCGATCGATCAAGCAACATCCCAGATCGATCGAACCCTTTGATCTTATCAATAATATCTACAACAACCTCAATTGTTTAAGCTTAAGCCTTGGTTGATCTGGCCAGATCGATTGATCGAATGGGCCTGACAGCTACGAAAATCAGAAATTAAGCCTTGATTCAAGGGGGCTCGGGGTGCAATCAATCAGGTGTCCTTGTGTATGTGGTATAACCATTTTGGAATGATAAGAGTAACCTATAAATAGAAGATTAACCCAATTTGCAAGGGGGTTGGAATTTGGAGGCTAAAAGAGAATTCTAGATCTACTCTCTCTCTAGGGTTTCTCTTATGCTCTGTTCGGTAGGAAGGAAGGAAGAGGGGTGGAAGGAAAATAGAAGGGAAAGAACAAAATTCCTTCGTTTGGTAGGAAGGAGACACGGAGAGAAAGGATAATAGGAGGGATGGCTTATCCCTCCTTCTTTACAAAATTTCATCCTCCCAAATTTGGGCGGAAGACCGGAGAGAAAACAAGTTGAGCTATTGTAAAAGTACTAAATTACAATATTATCCTTCCCAAATATTAATTAAAATTAAACTCTACACATCTTATCTCACGCAAAACGCTCTCTCCAGCGATCTCTCTCACACAAGAAACTCTCCTTGGTCTTGCTCGATCTGTACATATACATAGATCGACAGTATTTACAAACAGGTTTGATTCATGTGTTATATATATATATATATATATATATATATACCTTCCCCTTTATCATGCTTTTGTACCCCACACTTGCCTTGAAACCTAACCTCTGTAACCCTTATTTGGTTGAGATCTGGATCTTACATATATATCTATATGGATTGTTTGTTATATAATTGCCTTATTAGTAAAAAAGAGGATTCAGAAGAAAAAATACACAGTTTATATAAAGAACCATACAATGCCATAAAGCATTTTTTTAGAACATATTTAGAACCAAAAAAAAACTCCATGTTCACACCTAATTCAAAAAATAGTAGTTATATATGTATATATAAATAAAGCAAACAACAAATTAGAGTGAAATTAATGGTACTGTTCAAATGAGTAGTAAAGATGACGGCTATTTACAGGGAAAAAAAAATAATGAAGGGTATAATGATAAAAATAATTTTAAATTCTCTCTTCCCTTCTCTCGTAACAAATAAATGAATTTGGTAGGTTCTTCTCTTCTCTTCCATCCAACCGAACAAAACGAGGGAAGTTCATAATCTCTTCCCTATGGATGTCTCATCCTTCCCTTCTTCTCTCCCTTCCATCTAATTTTCTTCCTTCCTAACGAACGGAGCATCAAGGAAGAAGAAGAAAAAGATGAATCCAAGCTTGGAAATGGTTTATGATACCACCATGATGACATCTACCTTCTCCATAAATGGCTAGTTCTTCACTTAGGGCTTGGATGAGTCCTAAGTTTGTGTAATTAAATATCTTGTCTTTCAATTTTGGAAATTATTAATTGTAATTAAGTTTTTGGTCTTGTGAATTCAAACTTGGTTGTACCAAGGTTTATATTGTTAATTCTTCCAATTAATTCTCTATTTTAATTACATGTTGTCTTATGTTTAATTAATTAAGGGTTGATCTCTACATTGAGTACTTGTTGTAATTGTGCTTAATGATAGCCATGCATGGTTTTTATTGGATACAATTGCTCTTAGTTTGATGGATTAATCTTACTCTTAATGGGTTGTTCTACATGTTAGAATAATTATAATTAGGTAGACAATTCATGCTTGAGTTTGATACTTCATACTTATTCATTGCAACTTGTATTATCTTCTTGAATATTGATGTGTGCTTGTAGCCACATTCTTATTACAATTTGTTTTCCCCATTAATTGAATGCATTTGATATAATAGCATAAGCTTAGTGGTGCAATCCATGTCTTAAGTCTCTCTCCTTATTACCTTAATCCACTTTCAGCTTAGCCTTATTTCATTTGCATGATATAGATAATAAAGTCATCATGAGTATAATCAAATCAATCGCTATCATTTCAATCTCACGCTCATTGACGTTAAGTTAAATTCCAAGCCAATAATCCCAGTAAACAATCCCTTCTCACTATACTAATGTATAGTGGTTTTGTGATTTTATAAATATAAAAGTTGATGTCCCATTTGCCACATATAAACATCTATTTTTTGTAGACCCGCGGGTAGCGTCACATAGCTTTGTATCTGAGCCACACCCAACTTTGTGTCGAGTAAGGCATCTAATTATACTTCGAGCCTAAGGAGCTTCCTCCAAGAGCCTGAACTGTAAGAGGTAGCTTTGACTGACCAAAAACTTTTATTCTTGATGAGGTAGCAGTGAATCCAAGAAGACAAAAGCTTGCTGAAGAACATTTTCCAAATATATGCCCAAGTTTAGCAACTTTGTTGGCCATGTCCAACGCATGCAAGCACATTCCAGGGCAACTTTAGCTCCTGTGGACTTCATCTCATGACCAGTCCAGAGGAATGACCTTAGAATTTGGTTGATTTGTTCAAGGACCTTCATTGGCCATTTCCATGTTTGTGGTTGATTATGAGTGAATGGCCAAGACAATAGATCTAATCAGAATCTTCCTACCAGCAAAGGAAAGGTGTCTAGCAGTCCAAATCCTGACCCTAGAGGTCATTCTTTCCACCAGAGATGTGCAATCCTTTGCAGATAAAGCTAAGGAGGTCAAAGGAAGACCTAAGTATTTAACAAGAACTGTGCCAAGCTCAAAATGAAGATAACATACAATATCATATTTGACTTGAGCAATAACACCAGAGAAAAAGGCAAGACTTTTTAAATATAAGATGGGTAAATGAGTGAATAATAGAGGAGAGCGCTCGCATAACTACGACGAAGAGCAAAGGTGAGATGGGATCACCCTGTCTAACCCCCCTTTAGCCTTTAAAGAAACCAAACGATTTTCCACTCAAGGAGATTGAATAAGAGGCAGTAGAGATACATAACTTAATCCAATGAATAAAGCATGGTGGGAACTTGACCAGATGGAGAGAGTCAAAAATGAAGTCCCAATGAATAGTCAAATGTTTTTTTTGAAATCAATTTTAAGGGCACATCTAGGCTGAGGAGAAAACCTGTGGTATCCATTAATAAGCTCATGAGCCAAAAGGGTGTTCTCAGATATGTGTCTACCCTGAACAAATGCATTTTGATTGGAACTGATGTGAAAAGGAAGAACAGGCTTGAGCTTAAGAGCAAGCAGCTTGGTTACAACATGAAATAGGCCTAAAGTCATTAATGGATTAGGCACCTTAGGCACTAATGCAATGTAAGAACAATTGATGTTCTTTCAAAATTTTGCATTAGGCAAAGAAATCCTTAATAGCAGCAGACCTTATTGATTTCTTTCAGCTTTGCTACTGATTTGTTGCAAATATCACAAGTATACTGATCTCTTGTGAAGTTTTCTTGAATAAAAATTGTTTTTATCTTTCCATTTACCCATAAAAAAATGCACTCTCACAACTCATATATCGAGATTGATTATTTGCATTTCAAAAATACTACTCTAAAAAAATGCACCTAAGGGCAGATACTTTCAACATGTTAACTAACTTTTGGCATTACTCTGTGAAAAAAGACTACATCCTTGTCGTCACACACAAGCTTACACATAAAACTGAATATTTGGTCAGGTTGCAAAAAACTTACTGCATAACTGCTGTAGGAAATTAACATGTCAGAATGTCCCTGTTTGGTTGAATATGTGCCAAATAAATCATGTAAACATAAAAGAAGTCCTTAGCATGATTTTACTTTAAGGGATATGACAGCAAACTTCTCAGTGAGAGTAGATGAGAACGACAAGCATCGACATGTAATGACTGAAACGAGGTCACTGTTCTATATTGGTAAAAGGGTCAATGAAAATAAATAAAATTATCCATCTATTAGAAAACTGCACTTTAATCAGTGACTCAAAAGTTATACATCATTAAATTCAATTTCTTTCATGCTATTAACTATGTCTTCAACTCTTATGGACATGAACTCAGCATGTTCCTGAATGTCCTTGAGAATCACACATACCTGTCGTCGCAATGCTGCAGATCGTTCTCTTTCATGCTGCAGCTCATCAAATAGATCCTGGATTTTCTTATCCTTCTCTTCCTGCAAAAACATGTGACTCTAGAAATCAACTGCTATAAACGAGTTAATGACAAATTAATGGAAGAATTCAACTTCAAGCCCTGCTATAAAATGAACTGAATACACCAAATTGTTAGTGGTGCATTGGATGTATTTCAATAGAACTAACAATATGGATTGCAGACTAAGTTCAACAAACAGTTAACCCAGCTATGCAACGTTAGACAGTTGAATCTGTTTCACCATTTATTTACAAGGGCTACAGTTAAATTTCCACATTCAGCTATTCAATCTTGACACTAAAATGCTCCTTGATGCCTTGCAAATGGAAAAGGCATGGAGGGCATTTATGACTCGGCAGGCTAATAAAAATGTCGCAAAATGGAATTTCCATATGGGGCCTGCTTGGACATTTTTTGTTGAAGCAAATCTTTTTACGATATTAGATCAGCATGTTGAAGGTTTTTAGGAACCATTGTTTGATTCAGTTGTAGAAGCTCAGACTATATCCAAGTTTAAATGTGACTAGTTACTTAGAGTAAATAATGCTCTAAGTTAAAACTATATCCAATTCCGATCCACCTTTCCCAGTATTCTTGATGAACGGAAACCACGTCAGGTAAAGATCTTTGAAGGCTTCTGTATTTTGTGTTAACAAGAGTCAAAAGTACATAGAATTAGGAGACAAATTGGACTCCAGTGTATACTGGTCAATGTATAAATAATTTGTAAATGTGAGGTTGAGGTCAGAGAGCTTCCCTTTCTAGAGCCTTGCTTGTGCATAGCATTCGTTCCTGCTAGTTGTATTAATTCTGTGCCCAATGGGTGTTATGATATTGTTCTAAAGTGTATGGGTTAGATTAACTAAGGGATTAGAAGTTGGTATTGTTGAAGATTCACTGAAGATGGTTCAGTTGTAGGGGTACTCACTCACATTACTACTGAGGTTGATGAATCTACTGAAAATCGAAAGGGTTCATTCCATTTGGAAGCCGGTAGAACTAGCAATGTTGTTGCTTGGAATGGTGGTCTGCTGGAATACCAACACTACTGAAGATCAGACCTTGACGAAGCCCTCAATGTCTCTCCTATTCAAGTACAGTTTTTTTATTTCTTTCTATTTTTCTTTTTCTTTTTCTTTTTCTTTTTAATTATCATGGCCTGATACGGCTAAAAGTAGGGGAGTTCCATTCTGTTGGTTTCTCCAGAATTAGAACCAGATTTTGGCAAACGTATTTATGTTGCCACCTTATTGTTGAAGGTCTGTGCTCAATTCAGCTATGACCTCCCCTAAGAAGCACTTGGATGTATGTAAGCCCCAAATTTGTTGCTTGTACATTGGACAGAAAATATAATAAGTCAAGCATGCTGACAAAGCAACAAATATTGCACTTGATGCACCGAGGACACAGACAGGAAGGGTCATTGCTCAGTTTCATGCAAATGACATTTCCTTTACAGAAGAAAGGTTACGGGTGAATACGTTTTTAGTCTCCAAGTTTTTTGCCAATAAAAACAAAGGAAAATTACCCTAACCTCCCATGAGGTTTTCAATTTGATCCCTCAGATTAAACTTACAGAAACACCCTTCTTCTCTCATGCATCATATTTACCGTGTCTATTCAAATATCAATACCTATATATTCCATATTACCAAATAAGGGCTATTTTCTGGTGGTGTTCTTATCAATCCAGGGTGCAATGAGGAGTTCACTAAATATTCATTTTATTCTCATCAAGTGAGTGACCTCATGCTCGAATCCATATCTTCACACTTGACGGTCCAAGTTTTTACCATTGCACCAAGCAATGGTCCCTACAAAAAACCATGGCTTTTTCTTGTAGAAGTTGAATGTAAAATTCAAATTTGTATAACGTAACATAGCCACAACATAATTTAAATCATAAGCATATTATATTATCAGATGACATATCTCATTGATCTTGTCATACACATCCTTCTAAATGATGGTGAAACTTGGACATACCTCACTGAGTATATTTACGATTGGCAGCTCCCCAGGAAATTTACAGTTTGTCATTAGCTTGTGGTTGTGTTCTCGCACAAATTTGGTAACTTCCCACTTACCTCCATCCCGTGCTGCTAACCTTATCATTGCTTTACACCCTTCTCTTGTAATTGGCCTTGGAGGTAGAACCCTGTCTTCTCTAATTGTATGCTTCGCAGCACGGAAGCCTTCTCTTGAACATACGAAGTCCCGACCTATTATGCCCATGTTCTTTAGCGAGTGTCGGATTCGATTTGTTCGAATGGTGAAACCTGTACGCTTGGCGTAGCCATAATAGAAGTCTCTTGCATCATCTAATGAAGGAAAAGTCATCCCACTAAATGGTTCTAAATTTTCCACTTTTAAACTGTTCGCTGATGGTTCCAAAAAAACCAACCCATCATTTAGAACAGTATGTGAGTTGCAATTATGGAACAACCCATCTTCTCTGGCTTCAAGTTCTAAGTTTTCAGAAGTTTCTTCGTCTGAACCGTGGTCAGCATCAAAAAAATCGGGCCCAGCTGAGGTTCCCGCCATTATGTTCCTACAAAAGGAATTACCAATTAAGAAATATCCCCCATTTGAAAAACTAATAAGTTTTCTATTTACAGAAGTAGACACTTCATATCACTCTAGAACTTTTTTGCATCCTTCCATCCCGAGAAGATTCATACCGCCTCTCAAGAGGTTGTGCTTGAATGTTAATGGCTCACATTGCACATAAGTCACATGGAAATCATCTAGAGGGAATAATAAAAATAGTGTTGTCTGTTGTGGTAAATGAAGATCAGTTTGAAAGATCATGAAATTCTGGTTTTCCAAATTTTTACTATAGATGTTTACGGCAGCAACTTTCAATAATGGTACAATTTATCATATCAGATTTACAGAGTAATTACCAACACTAACTCTCCACATTAGAAACAAGTAATAGAAAATCCAATTCTAATCCATCACACATCGCTCATAAGGATCAACTTATCAACATTAAACTCAAAAAACACAAATTTAAATCTTCTCCTAAGTTTTTATTCTGTTTCACAATGTATCCCCAAGACACAAAACAAACAATTGTAACATGGAATATAGAATATTTATTTTAAAAATAAAAAATAAAAAATTCTGAAGAAAGAATCAAACTCCAATGTCCGGCATAATCATTTCAAGGGGAAGGTCTTTTAGGAGAATTTTTTTTTTTTTTTTAAATTGAGTAAAGATATTCTAATTCCCCAATTCTAAATGAATAAAAATAAACATGTTTTCACATAGTTAAAAAGGGCACCTTGAAGGAGAAAAACATCCAAAAAAGTTCAAGAATAAAAATTGATGAGCCTTTGACATTATATCAGCCACAATGATAGAATTGCTATACAAAATTTCTCCACTAATTCATCACCTGCAAACAATATAAAAATTCTTCCATCGATTGTTGGAAAAAATCTAAAAGGAATTTTGAAATTTGGAAAACCTTAGAATTTTTTTTAAAATTATTTGGGACCTGAGAAAAAAAAATGGCACACCATTTAAGACCGAAACAAATCTTCGGCAAAGTTAATGTAATCCATATAACTTTTACACACTTTCAAAACCTAAAGCATGGAAAATATATTACATTAAAAAAAAATAAAAAAATTAATCCTTTCTATTTTTCACTTAGTTTTCTCAGCAATCAAAAGGGTTCAGTATAATAAATAAGCTCATGAAAATTTATGTATTAAGGAACCTGCTTACCATGTAGAATCTTTTTCTTTTTTCACTCTTCAAAATTATTGTTCTCTAGGTTTTTTTTTCCCTTCAGCTACGAAAAATATTGTTCCCCAATCCTCCGTTTGGTTGCTGAGAAAGATGAAGAAAATAATGATATAACATTCCGAACATCTGCTCTGTTACTTTTTTTTCGATTTCCACCTTTCTTCAGCAATCAAATTGGCATCGAATAACAAAAATGAAATGAAAAACGGAGAGTTTTGATGAATTCAGGGATTGAAAAAGTTGACTAAATTTAAAATACATAGCAAAAATTAAATTAAATTAAAATGAAATGATACTTGAATCAAATTAGTTACTTACTTCAATTTCGATTTCGAGCTGATCTGACAGAGAGATTGAATGCTAAATCCTCTTGTTGTATTTGCCTCAGTAGTACTATTTACTCAGTTCTTCCTGCTCAGCTATATATATAGACACACACGCACATGTAGAGAGAGAGAGAGTATATCTGTCTGGAAATTGTAAGGCGAGGCCTTGTTGTTGGCCCAAATGGAATTGACACCAAGTTCGGAGTATCTAGGGGGTGGGCTGGGTGGGCTTGAGCCCATCCCAAAAAAATAAAATTACTATAATCAATTTTAGCCCAGTTAAAAAAAAATTCTTATTAGTATTAATTCACCCAAAAAATATTAGCCCACTCCATTAACAATTTCTAGATCTTCATGACCCAAACATACTCATATAGTGTAATGCAACAAAAGCCCAGCCCAACCCAAACAGCCCAGTCCAACTAGTAATCATCTTGATTAGCAAATTCTTTGCTTTCATACTTTAAACCCACACGTCTTTACCTTTGTTAGTCCAAATTTTTACGACTAGACAAAAAAAATTATAAATAATTCTTCAATCTTCTCCTTCCGGTATGAATTCAAACATGATTGGCATTAACCATTAATATTATTTATTTGCTTTTTTCATTTTGTTTTAGATTTGGACCAATGTGAAATGTTTGTGTTCTATATGAATTTATGACTTAGGTGTTGGTTGATTATTCAATTAAGTTCTTATTCAATTAAGTGTGTTTGATAACATATTTTAAAAATCGTTGAAAATGGTAAGCGTCACTTAAAATGAGGTAAAATTTTAAGTAACAGAAACATCACTTAACATTGAATGCTGAAAATTCGAAAAAAAATAAAAAAATATTTATTTTTTATTTCCCACTTAAAAATTTCGCTACTTGTTATCTTTGTCCCATATCAACCACTTAAATTTTCAATTTTCATTTTTTCTTAGTATAAATCACCTTTCTTACAATATTTAGCTTTTTTAAAAATCATTTCTCCTATTTAGCTTGAAGTGTTGTGTTGAATCCCAATTTAAGTGTGTAAAATCTCTCTAATACACGGTAGCAAAGGACCCTTTTCAGCAAAGAACAGTCCAATTAAGAATTTGATCAAAGCTCTTCATTTCAAATATATATGTATATATATATAAAAGCGAATGATGATGTACAAGTTCACTGTTAGAGGTGTTCTAAAGTGAAGTGAATATAAATGAGTGAGTATGTAATACTATCCAATAACTTAAATTTTTAGATTAAAGGGTAATTTGATTGATTCTAAACTCCAGCCAAGCTTCGCCTCCCCGCATAAAAAAAAAATAAAAATAACAAAAAGAAAAAAAGCCATCTGCATGTGTTCCTTTCATGTGTTTATTGATTAAGGACCATGATTCGCAAAATTGATTACGGTCGCAGTATCGATCACAGTGTAACGGACTTAAACAAAGTTAGTATAAATTGATCGATACGAATTTTGTATCGAACTTAAAAAGAAATTATGCATCGACCAATATATCGCATATTAGACAATACGAGAAACCATTCTAAGGACCGGGTGAAGTGCATCTTTACCCAGAATATTTGATCTCAATCAACCTTTTTATTTTGTTTTACAATAAAAAGTGGTTGTCATTTCTTTCAAGTAGGCCACTTTTGTTGAAACACAGTTCACAATAATCATAGCCGTGTTGAAAATAATAATAATAATTATTATTATAGCCGTGTTGAATCCTTGCCGACTAGTTAGCAACGCGTTCCATTTCCTAATATTTTTTTTTTTTTTTTTTTTTTTAAATAAAATAAATTACTCCAAATTTTTTTACAGTTGCTTCAATTAAATTACTCGTTTTTTTATTATTATTTTTTTTTTACAGTTGCTTCAATTATTGGATTGAATTATGGTGTTCAAACCTTTATTTTCATTTCTCTTCATTTTCTATATCCATCAAACAAAGTCTTCTCCATAGAAGTGTTTTAACAAATTTCTTCTACCTTAAAGAAATATGTCCATTGTCTTTGTCTCACATAAAAAAATAAAATTATTTATTTATTTATTATTATTATTATTATTATTATTTTCATAATTGGTACCCATACACACATGTCATTTGAACCCCTAACCTGAACCCCTAACCTCTCATTTGGAAGGTAAAGGTTTAATACCACTAAATCACTGGCCCGTTAATCATTATTATTATTATTATTATTATTTTCTTTTATTATAAATCATGTCTTCTTGTACAATATTTAATTTTTTAAAACTATTAGTTCTATTTACAATTTGATTGTCGCAGTTTATAGCAGAGGGTCCAAACATTATATATATAAGAGCATCCACAAGTGGGGAACTCCAAATGGAGTCTTCACTTTTTTTATTTTGGAGATTCACATTAGCAATTATTTTGACTTGACGATCTCTTTTATTCGGAGACCCATTCATTCTGTGTTTTAAAATGAATTAAAATAGGGTGAAAAGTCTTCATTTCAAATGCGAAATAAGAGAAAGTGAATGACATACAGGCCCACCAAGGTTATCAAAATTGACCAAGGTTATACAAGTTTAGGGTTTCTCGAGTACTCTCTGTGTTTTAGCTTCACGAGGCCTAACAAAAGAAAGTATTCTGTTCACACAACAATGTCAAGGTCATTATTCCCTGGCGTGGTTGTTACAGGTAGTAGTAGCCAAGCCTTAATTAAATTTAATTTTTTCATTTCCAAAAAAACTCCCACATGTGCATTTGTTCCACTAGTTTTTAAGGAGACTAGAACTAACTACAGATTTTTTAAAAAAAATTAAACACTTCGGAGATAGAGGAGGTGTCATTAAAGATCAAATTCTCTTTTAACTAAAGAAGAGTCGTGATATTCATGCCGAAGAGTAAAAAATACTTCCTTGACCAAATACACTTGATTAGTCATTTATGCAGGATATAAGAAAGCGAATCTCACTTCTTTATATTTTTACATTGACCAATTAAAAACATTCGTTCAAGGTATTTAGTATAACTTTTCACTAAAGAAAGATAATCAACGCTCAATTAAACATATCAACCTATATCTAAAAGAGATACACACAAACATTCAGTCGGTGTGGCAATTAATGATCCAGATGAACATTTAGAAGAGAAATTTTATTATTTTTAAATGCCGACAAGAGTCTATGTTGGACTTTATCCATTAGATTGCTACAAAAACTGATAAATTTTTGTAGCACTACTCTTCCGCTTAATGAGTGATTTACTAAGGTTAAATGATTTATCATAATAAAATGTCCCAATAGTTACTCCATTCGCTACAATGCCTCTAGTACATTTTCTTTTCTTTTTAATCAAACTAGAGGAGGGGTACTTGAACACGGACATACCCGCTTGGAAAGTTGCGCGCTCTGTCAACTAGATTATTGGTAATGCCAAAAGTACAATGCCAATTATTAAACTAGAATATGGAGCACACCTTTACTTTTTGAGAACCCCTTTTGACTTTTTTATCATTCCTTTGGTTGATTCTCTTGATCAACTCAATACATACAGATCTAGTTTCATTTTTCATATCCATCAAACAACGTTATTGACAACTTACTGGTTCATAAAACTCTATACTGGATCAAAGGAGCAAAGCAATGGCAGAAAGTGCAGTAACCTCTGTTATTGACAACTTCGTGCCACTCTTAGTCCAACAAGCAAAATTGTTGAAGGATGTCCATAAAGAAGTTGCCAGCATCAAAGGTGAATTGGAGAGCATACAGTGCTTCCTTAAGGATGCAGACGCCAAGGCAGAAATCCACGACGGCATTAAAATTTGGGTGAAACAAGTAAGGGAAGTAGCTTATCGAATAGAAGATGTGGTTGATGAATACATACGTCACTTTGTAGAACAATCTCACCGCCATGGTTTCATCATCTTCTTCCGCAAAGTGGCTCACTCCATCGTCAAACTAAAGCCACGGCATGCGATAGCCTCTGAGATTCAGGATATCAGAACAACCATCAATGAGATTAAGGAAAGGGCTGACAGATATGGATTCAGTTCCTTAGAGCAAGAATCAAGCAAAGGCACAAAAGAGAGCACGTGGCATGACCCTCGAGTGGCTTCCCTTTTTATTGCTGAAGATGAAGTTGAAGGCATTGAATCTCTCCAAGATGAATTGGTCAGTAAGCTATTGGCAGAACAACCAGTCCGTGGAGCCATTTCTCTCGTTGGCATGGGTGGATCCGGAAAGACCACTCTTGCCAAGAAAGTTTACGACAACCCAAGAGTGATGGGACACTTTGATTGTCATGCTTGGATCCCTGTCTCTCAGTCATACAAGATGGAAGAGCTCCTCAAAACAATGATCAAGAAACGAGCTTGTTCCTGAAGGAATCGACTCAATGAAAGAAGTTTCGCTCATTGAAAAGTTAAAGGAATATCTACAACAGAAGAGGTATGTGGTTGTTCTTGATGATGTATGGAAAATCGATTTCTGGAGTTACATAAAACATGCTTTACCCAAGAATAACGAAGGCAGTCGAGTAATCGTCACAACTCGTATAGATGATGTAGCTTTTTCATGTAAAGAATCTTCATTTGATTACATGCACCAACTCAAGCCTCTATCCGAAGATGAGGCATGGGAACTCTTTTGCAAGAAGACGTTTCAATCAGATTTTGGGGGTGTTGAAGGAATTTTCTCTTAAAATTGTTCGCAAGTGTGAAGGATTACCACTTGCAATTGTGGCAATAAGTGGTTTGTTATCAACAAAAAACAAGATTGTATCCGAATGGGAAAAGTTTTACAGTAGCCTCAGTTTTGAGTTACAAAGGAGTCCCCATCTTACAAGTATCAGAAAAATTATATTGCTCAGTTACTATGATCTTCCTTACTACCTCAAATCTTGTTTCTTGTACCTGAGCATAATACCGGAAGACTTTTCTATTTGTCGTGGAAGATTGATTCGGTTGTGGATCGCTGAAGGGTTTGTGAAGCCAGAAAGAGGAAAAACTTTGGAAGAGGTTGCAGAAGAATACTTGACCGAGCTAATTCGCAGGAGCTTGGTTCAAGTGACAAAGCTAAAATTTGGTGAATCGAGAACTCGTACTTGTCGGGTGCATGACTTGATCCTTGAAATCATTGTTTCAAAAAGTGAGGAGTTGAGTTTTTGTCAAATTATAGAAGAAGACTCAAGTTTTGATGGACAATCTCGGCGACTATCATTCCATAACAGTGTTCATAATGTTTTAGAAACCATTGGTATGCTCCGAATTCGTTCATGTTTTATTTTTAAAGTCGATGACCAGTTGCCAAAGCCATTTTTAGGTACGTTGTTTTCAAAATTCAAGCTATTGAAGGTCTTGGATCTTGAAGGTGCTCCTCTCGATGATCTTTCTAAAGACGTGGGAATGCTATTCCAGTTGAGGTACCTAAGTATAAGGGATACAAAAGTGAAGGTCCTTCCAAAGTCTATAGGCAAGCTATACAACCTGCAGAATTTAGATCTGAAGTTCTCTCTCGTGGATGAGCTACCCATTGAAATCAATAAGTTATATAAGCTACGACACCTTTTGGCCTTCAAGAATAACTTGTACGTTAATAAAGTTATTGATGTTACAAGAGGAGTGAAAGTGCATGAAGGAATTGGCCATTTAAAGAAACTGTAGAAACTACGTTATCTGGTGGCAAGTCATGAAGGGTTCGACCTTATAAGAGAGTTGGAAAATTTGAGGGAGTTGAGAAAGTTGGCTATCACAAAGTTGAGAAGAGAAAATGGGAGGACTCTCATAGACTCCACTGAGAAAATGAAACACCTTAACACTCTTGATATTGGGGCATTAAGTGAAGATGAGAATCTGGATTTACAATCCATTAAATCTCCACCTCAAAGTCTTCAACGTCTCTCCTTGTGTGCACATTTAGGGAAATTGCCGAATTGGATCCCTAGACTTCACAATCTAGTCAGATTAGGTCTAAATTATTCAAGATTAACTGATGATCCGATGAAAGCCCTGCAAGCCTTGCCTAATCTGATATGGCTACATCTTCATAAGGGATATGATGGTAAGAGATTGTATTTTGGGGCACAAGGGTTTCAGAAACTTAAGATGTTAAGTCTCCATGAGTTGCAAGAGTTGAATTCATTGATAATAGAGGAAGGAGCGTTGTCACTTCTTGAAGAGCTATATATTGGGCCTTGCCAGCAATTGAAGGAGGTACCCTTCGGCATTCAACACCTCAGAAAACTCACAAAACTCCGGTTTTATGATATGCCAACAGAATTCTTAGAAAGAATGAGAGGAGACCAAGGCCAAGACTATCAGATTGTTAAGCATATACCATCTATCTATTCCTGGATCAAGGTTAAGGGATTCCAATATAAAACCAACAAACTGCAGTGATAGATTCATCTGATACACGCAGAAGAAGCCCATTGGAATTTATTGTGATTATTTCAATTTCTTTTATTACTCAAGTTTGTTTGTCATGATAGGGAACACGAGGAGTACTCAAGCTTTACACATTTTCATAGTAAGTTTGTTCCTTTTTTGCATCCATGTAATGCATTAATTTTTCATTTACATAATAACTTTGGATGATTGTTAGGTTTCACTATCATTCGGAGAGTTCAAGGAAATCCAATTGATGAAACATGAAGAATTACGTTGTCAAATGAGTCAGCTACTTGTCTTTTTTCATCGTTCACTTGTATTTTCTTTCAGACCAGATAAAAGTTATTTACTTCCAAACCTTCCTTTTGTTGTTATTGCATGTTATTGTAATAATGTTGCTGTTTTTATTGTGGCCAGTGCTATTGATTGTCATCATTGTTGTTAATGTCGTTACTTCTTATATATTATTGTTCTTATTAAAATCTCTCTTAACATGAATGATTTCAAAATATGCCCTATCCTTGCTATGTTATTTAATCCTCTACTTAGTTTGCATATTCTTTTCACTACTCTAGGCAAGACCTATCTCCAAGAAGATTTAATAGTCAAGAGAAGAATAGCTATGCCCGCTTCGACTCGTATGAATTGTAATTAGGAACCTTAGTTTTAGGGATTTGAATATTTGTATTTCAGAAATATTACCTTAGTAAGAGAAAAAAAGAAGAAGAAAAGAAATTTAGCATTTGCTCCTAAAACAAAAACAAAAACAAGTCTCCCCAAGAGCATTTTGGAAGTTCTTTGCTAGAAAAAAAAATATATATATATATATATATATATATATATATATATATATATATAAATCTGTTATCCGTTGCATCATAGGTGTTACTGCGTCCTGAGATCCGAAAATATGATGCGTACTATCTCTCCCAAGAGCTTTAGTAAAGAGATGTCATTCTATTAGTCTTCAGATTCACGTATGGAGTAGAAATTTCTTTCTTGGCTATCTTTTCACAAACAAAATGCCCTTCTCTAATAATAAGGTAAGGTGACTCTCTTCTATATTCTGATTTTGCACTCAACCATGCTACAACCATTTGCTTTTTACTCTTCCACGTCAGAGGCAAATAACTTACTCCATTACATCTTACACAAACTACTGATCCACACAGAGAGAGTTCTTTTGAATGCTTAGTCTGGTTGCAAATAACTTACTCCATTACAACTCTAGTAAATTAACGTGCTAGAATGCTCCCGTTCAGTTGAATATGTGCCAAACAGAATCTGGAAACATAAAAGAGGTCCTTGGCATGATTTTACTTCAAGGGGTGTGACAGCAAACTTCTGAGTGACAGTAGATGAGAACGACAAGCATCGACATGTAATGTCAGAAATCAGGTTGTTCTATATTGGTAAAAGGGTCAATGGGAATAAATAAAAAGACACCCATCTATTAGAAAACTACACTTTCATCAGTGACTCTAAAGTTATACATAATTAAATTCAATTTCTTTCATGCTATTAACTATGTCTTCAACTCTTACGGACATGAACTCAGCATGTTCCTAAATGTCCTTGAATATCACGCATACCTGTTGTCGTAATAATGCTGCAGATAGTTCTCTTTCATGCTGCAGCTCATCAAATAGATCCTGGATTTTCTTATCCTTCTCTCCCTGCAAAAACAATGTGATTCCAGAAATCAACTGCTAGAAACGAGTTAATGATAATTAATGGAAGAATACTACTTCAGGAGCTGTTATAAAATGAACTGAAGACACAAAATTTTTAGTGGTGCATTTGCATGATAATAATCTCTGCACTATTTGATGATCATCATAATCTCTGGAGAGATTATGGAGAATATACTGTTTTGGTGTACTCCATGCACTCCATATTCTCCATTATCATCATCTCTCCTATTCACCATGAATTCTATACTAAAAGGATTTTGTAGGGGTTCAGATAAGATTATAGACCAGTGAGCTACGATGTGCTTAGGGCATATGACCACAAGGCAATACAAGCGACCGGAGACATCCCACTGTAGCATCTTAAATTATCCTGTAAATCAGTAGATAATCTTTTCAATATAATTGCCCTTCCATTTCTCGAAAATAGAAGTCTTCAATATAATAAAGAAATTCAAGGAAATGCTTGATCTAACCAAAATTACCTAACTTCATGTTGAAAATGTATTTTAATAGAACTAACAATATGGATTGCAGAACTAAGTTCAACAAACAATTAACCCAACTATGGCATTGTTAGACATTAGAATCTGTTTCACCATTTATTTAAAAGGGCGGCAACAGTTTGCCAAAAATATCCGAGGATAAGCAATTTTTCAAGAATCTTAGATTAGGTGCTCATAAATCCATTTGATTATGGAAGGTTTACACTAGCTGTCCAACAGGGTTCTTCCAGGAGCATGGAAAGTGTATTGAATTCCAAATTCCAACACGACAGTAATCTCCACATTCAGCTATTTGATCTTTGACACTCAAATGCTCCTTGATGCCTTGCAAATGGAAAAGGCATTGAGGGCATTTATGACTCGGCAGGCTAATAAAAAGGTTGCAAATTGGAATTTCAATATGAGGCCTGCTTGGACATTTTTGGTTAAAGCAAGCCTTATTTCTAGTTTTTAGTGCCTGTTGTTTGATTAAGTTGTAGAAGCTCCGACCATATCCAAGTTTACATGTGACTGGCCACTTGGAGCAAATAATGCCATAAGTTAAGACTATTCCAATCCACCTTTCTCAGTACTCTCGATTAACAGAATCCACGTAAGCTAAAGGCCTTTGAAAGCCTTATGTATTTTGTGTTGATAAGAGTCTAAAGTACGCAGAATTAGGAGACAACTAGCTACTTATAACCACCCATAAAATTGAAAGATTAATTTAGAGAACTTTCAATGACTTTTTAAAGCTTTTGAACTTATGCAAACCTTATCTTAGGATGCAGAGCACAAGGGAATCTAGGAAAGATCCCAAGAATATTCTTCACAAGCAAAATGTTACAATCACAATCAAACCCTATTATTTTAAAAGGTTCTCATCTCATCCTAAACTCCAATACAAGGCTTAAACCCGTAAGCCTTTCTCAAACATCCAACAGTCCGCAAAATTTGTAAAATTCTAGCAAATTACAGCATCAAATTGAAGCCTATTTAGAGCCTTTGATGCTACCTTTCTTCCGTCCATTAAAACCTAATGCAACAAGTCTCTATAACTTAAACCACGACAAAACAAATTATCGACAACATAACAGAGTTATTGAAGTGTTGTGCTATATATGATTATTGAAAAGCCTATTGTGGTGAAAAAACCTAAGACAAGGAGAAACCAAAGGTTTATGTAATGCAGTAGCCATTGCTTGGTTAGTGAACAATTACACTTCTGTAACCTCAAAACAAATTAGACTTGGAGCCTTCATCACAAAAGCACCTTCGGTACAATAGAAAGCATCCGTGACAAAGTACTTGAGCCTGTAGGTTTTGGTTTCCTTAAGTTTTAATGTATCATAGTTATTTTGATCAAATAAAAGTTAGGATTATATGAGCTGAGCACAGCAGTTCTTTCGTTATAGATTTCTTAATTCTTATTCTTAGTAGGAATTAGATGATACCTTTCTAGAATTTGAGTATTCACTAGGACGGAATTTTAAGAAGTGCCTATTATTTTCAGCTTTAAATTTTTTTTATAGGCATCTATTTTCTTGAGATCCTTGTTTAATACCAATTAGGAGTTTTTTCTTGGGCTTGCTTACCAGCAGATTTACTTAAAAGTTCTATTTTAAAAAAAAAATGGACTCGAATGTATAATGTACCACTGGGAAATGTATAAACGTTTTGTAATTGTGAGGTTGAGAGCTTCCCTCTCTGGAGCCTTGCTTGTGCATAGCATTTGTGCCTACTGGTAGAATTAATCCTGTGCCCAATGGGTGCTATGATATAGTTCTAGACACTGCAGGAGTATGGGTTAGCTTAATTAACAGATTACAAGTCGGTATTGTTGAATCTACTGAATATCGAAAGGGTTCACTCCACTTGGAAGACGTAGAACTATCAATGTTGTTGCTTGGAATGATGGTCTGCTGCAACACTACTGAAGATCAACGATGAACGCTGAAAAGTGCACATTTAAACCCCTTAAGCTTAGGTGTTCTAGGACCTTTGTCTATCTTATTTTCCCGCTTTAGATTGATTTTGTATTATTTTTATTTTCAGGTACTTATCCCCAAAATAAGCTAACTCAGCTAAATAAGAGCAT